TGCTTCAAAGGTTACTGTAACAAAGTGAATATTGCAGTCGATTTGACGGATGTATCAAAGCAACGTCCAATTTTCGACAATGCATGAAAGCAGCACTTGCAATTTGCGATCATTTACCAGCTTAGAAACGCACCGTAATTAACAGCATCATCCATAAACCTACTATCAAGTAAACAGCTGCACCGCTTCCATCTAAATAAAGTCGACTATACGGTAGATCGAAGCAATCCGGCTTGCAGGCGTGGGACTATGCCATGAATGCATATACACCTAAAGGATAGTTAACCTGCACGGTTATGCAATTAAAACAACCTCAATCTGCTTCGCATTAGATAACGCCTCTGCTTTTGAAACATTCTAAAAATTACATCATATACTAGTTCATGAACGTAAAATTCACATACAATCAAAATAGCAAATGTTAAACGACTTCGAAGGCTGACATTCGCCTTGGTTTAAAGAGACGCTGCTAAAGAAAGAGTTTATTCACCATTTTCTCCGATTACCACCGTAATAATGACCAATAATCCAGGGCACAACCTGTAGAGACGGATCTGCTGCCAACAAGCAAAAGGACATTTCAACCAATTAACAATCCCAAGAAAAATTTGAGGTACAATTTTGGTCAGCGCAGACGTAAATCTAAGGTAAATGAAAGTTTGAACTCAAAACTTTATTGGAAATTTTGACTAATTCTCTTGTACTTGGCTGTTGAATATTGTCCTTTAGATGATAGTAAACATCACTTTAAAGTTGAGAAAATTGTATTACTCCAACTTTGCCGACAATCACTTACTCAACAAACATACAGACGCTTTTCAGACTTCTGACACAAACTGTCTGAACCAAAAGGTAGAAAACAGTCATAATGATGACATCACCTCCATGCTAGAGTCGAGACCCTCAATAAGATTACATTCTTTCTTTCAAATCAAAGGGCAAACTTGAATACTAGTCTTCAACTTTCCAAAGACTCACTGAATGTAACTTCAGACAGTGAATAATTCATTAGAATTGTC